CGCTGATCCCAGTGAATGCAGTGCCTTGGCATTTAGTTAGCATCTCACCATTAACACTCCCTGCTGTTCCACATATTCCCTATGTAGAAGCCCAGTCTTGGGAAACTCACAACCTCACATACACAATATACCACCCTTTACTAGAGCGGGATGGGTCTGCTCCTTTGTGCCTTTGGAAAGAAGGGAGGCAGGACTAAGGAGAGAGAATATGGGGTGAGTGAGGAAGGGGTTACAGAGATTAGTGAAAATGGGGGAGAGCAGAGGAAGAGATTACACAACAGGGACTGTTCAGGAGGAGAAAAGTAGAAGGAGGGGAAAGACAAAGGAGAGGAAGAGATGTTGCCTTTAAGAGAAATATGCAAAGAGAAGACTGAAAAGCGAGTCAGCCAGGATGGAAAGGGTAAGTAGGGGATGAAGCGAAGAAGAAAAGAAAGTAAAGGAAAGGGTCAGTGAGATCAGATGAGATTCACAGCATCCATGACAAGCCTAACTGGCTTTTTTTTTTTTCATCCAAATACTTTTTTCCTTAACAAAACCAGGTTTTTACTGCAATGGACATTTTTCACAGAAAATGCCAGAAGCCCACAGCTGGAACAGTCTGGCTGTGCAAGAAAAATCCCTCCCCTCAAACCTACTCCCTTCCCAGGGAGGGGGCGGAAGAGTCAGAAAAATTCTGCTAGCATTTCAGATGAAACCTTTCCTCCCTTTCTTCATTCACGATTTTTCGTAGAAGTCAACATGACATTTTTCCAGCAGCCGTGTCGAATTCATGCTCCTCATTTTGCTTGTGCTTCCCCGTCATTCTCTTTCACTGCCTTAGTGGGGAGAGGTGGCTAGTTTGAGTCTTTGGCTCTACCTGGTCCAGGCTCAATAATGGAAGGGGCCCAAAATTCACCAGATTGTGAACAAAACCCGCCCCACACGGGGCCCCTGAATCTGGCTGTGTCACACTAAGCCCTGTGCCCGACAGCAACTGCTCCTGTTTCCACCGTCCTTTCTTTCTGAGAGCGCTTACCCGACCCACCTTCCCCCAGCTTGCTTTGCACATTGTTCTTTGCAGTCTCTGCTGTGGCCCTGCCGCCTGCCAGCCCACTGCCGAAGGACCCAGCAGGCGCCTGTCCCTATTAGAAATCTTATTTGCACTGGAGGAGAGTGCAAATTGTCCTTTCTCTCCTAGACCTGGATTGCAATGTGGGGAGGCACGGAAGATCTTGGTAGGAGCAGTACAAAGTCAAACCCAGACAGAAGCTGCTGTTGTTAACGAGAGGTGGCCGGGGAGGGAGCGGAGGCCAAAAGGGCCCTGGGATAATGAATTTAAAATACAGTAATTGTCTGAGGTGGCTAATGAAGGCGCTGCAGCCCTCAGACTGCTCCAGAGCAGCACTTGAGAGCCCGTTCAGCACAGAACAGGAGCCATGCAACAGGCTGCAACAGGATGCTGGGCTCCATCCTTTTGTCTGGATTCCTAAGGCAGTGCTAGACTGGGAGATGTGGTAGTTTGATAGATAAAATGGCTAGATACTGCAGTGCGGCTGGGAGGAAATAGATACTGCAGCAGATAACGACAGCGGCTCAGCGTGGGCTGGGTGGTGGCTGAAAGAACGTGGAGTGCCTGCTGGGGGTCTGCAGGTGAAGGGGTAACAGTGCTTCCCGGTCAGGGCTCCTCTGTTTTTTGCACAGAGCTGCATGGTCTCTCTAACGCACACACCTGCTGCACGAGAAGCATGAAGACACTGATGCAAATGTAGAGTGAGTTGCCAGGGCAAGTGCCACCTCTCTGCTTTGTGACTGGAAAGCAGGGAGCAAGGGGAGGGAGGAATATACAACGACAGCTCATTTCCAGCCCATCTGAAACAGAGCTGCTAATTAAAGCCCCCTCCCCCAGTCCCCCTGCCCCAGACCATGTTCCTTCATCTCAGAGTGGACCATGGAGTCCATCATGAATCCATACACTTGTTCCCAGCCTTTCAGGTGATGCTAAGGAGTTGTAGGAGCTGCAGCCCATGTGTGGGGCATAGGAGCAGAGTGTGGAAAGGTGTCTCACAGACCCAGAGGCCTGCGCTTGAGCTCTGCTCTTGCCAAAAGCAGCAGGTTGACCCAGTTGTGTGACCTGAGGGGTGAAACAGCAGACATGAGGCTAACAACATCACTCCATGTTATTGGTTCCTGGAACTAGTGCATCTTACCCATAGCAACCCAGTGTACCATCATGAGATGGGGTGGACCTCAAACCTTATTGTGACCTTGTAGGAGCTGAAAGTAGCAGCCTGTGGCTGAGACAGCTCCTTCCCTAAATTCTCCTTCATTTGGCTAACTTGTTGTCTCCTAAGTATCCCAGCATAGGCCTCCAACACAAGTGGAGCAAACCTGTCTGCAGGCTGGGGATGCTATTCACTTAGCAAGTCAGCTTTGGTGTTGGGCTATGACCTAGCAAAAACAAGACAAGGGCAAAGTTCTGTGTACATCTAGAAGCACCTCATCCAAGGGCCTTTGGGCCTGGGGGCCATACACATTCTCTGGTTCCTTGTCTCTACCATTACCTATCCGCAGGGGAAGGGGCCACACAGCTCTGCTGATGCTCCTCAGTGCTGCCTGCCATACTTCTCACTATCCCAGTCCTGGGGTTCCCTTACTACAGACACCAACTTATGAGAGTTAGGGTTGAGGCTGGAGAAAACCTGTCTAGCACTGGCAGTGATTGATCACCTGCAAACAGTGTATAAGCCAAGGCTAGGACTGGGATGGCCTATTTCAGTCCACAGTGGCAAGCACTGGACTCCCCCAGCTTCCTGGCTGGCAGCCAAGGACTAATTTGATTAGCATGACCTATGTCCTGTGCTTTTTGGGTGATTTCATTACAGTCCATGTGATGCTTTCAGTTCTTCCCGTTATGTCAGGTCAGTGGGGTAAATCCATCGTGGTCCAGGCTCAAACATCATAGAGTAAAAAACAAGTTTTCTCCAAACCAAAAAAACCCAGGTCCTTCATCCACCTCAGAGCTGTGTTTTCCTGGGGAAAGATATGGGAAAGTAGAGGAAGAAACAGCAGATCTGTAAAGGGCTCTCTCTTGGCCCAAAGAGAGAGCCCTTGGTACCTTTATGAATAAGTACATAAAGGTACCAAATACAGAAGAATGAATTAAGGGTTGCAACCCCTGATGTGAAGCGGAACTGGTGCTTCTCTGAATGTCCAGCCCAGGGGATGCTAGCCCTTGTGGACTGCTAACTGGAAAGGCCTTGCCCTGTCCCAAGTGTACGCTGAGGCCTGTGCTCTGGAGCAGCCAAGTCTCTTGTCACCAAAGAAGGCTACCATAAAACTCCAGCCAAGCTGGGTATGAGATTCTGAGCAGGGCTCAACTGCCTGCCGTTCTCCTTTGCACAGGTCTAAGAGACCTGGGTAGCACCCAGCATGCCAACAGGTTTAAAGATAAGAGCCCCCACACATACCCTAAAAACTCCCTGAGACCAGTGCAGCCCACCTAACAGAGACTAAATCCTGACTGTGTTTATTTTAGATGCTCCCTTAGACTCTCTCTGAAGGAGATGCTTCAAGAATTCAAACCCCACGTAGTGGGCATGGTACTAGAAGGTGAAGACAGCCACAGCCATCATAGCCTTGCCAGCAGACGCCTGTCAAGTAGGAACTGTTTTAACAGCAGAACCCTGTTTGTCACGAGCAGAGCTTGTTTGGTCTGTGGGGGTGGATCTACTATGGTTTTACTATGCTCACGCAGCGTGCAGCTTTGCTGGATTAGCTGCAACCTTGAGAGAAGCATTTTGTCAGGGTGACAATACCAGTCCTCCTCCACCAGGGAAGAGCACTTAATGTAGCTGTAGCCATAGTTATTACCCTGGCACCCCCTTCTCTCCCTCATCCCCAATTCAGCCCCTCTTAGTTTGGTGCAATGCTCCTTGCTGTTTGGCTTAGGTTGCTTGGGAAACACCCAAAGTAAAAGCAGGGAAAGACACTTGCTTCAGAATAAAAACCTCCCACCCTATAAAGCCTGTGTGTGTTGTGGGGGATTCCACTGATGTAACAGGGTGCAAGTAGAAGTCTGTCATGCAGAGCTGTTACACCAGCAGGTATAGACACTGGCCTTTATAATCACAGCTGGATTATACAAGTCTCTCTTCCCAAGTGCTAACAGAGTTGTGTTCTCGGCATGTGCAGTGCCTTGCACCGTGGGGCTCTGGTCTGCCATGGAGGTTGCTGGGCACACCCGTGATACCCATGCCTTTTTTTTTTTTTAAGGAAAATTTCTCACATCCCAAGTCAAATCAGCCAAATCAATTCCAAACCCGGGAGTCATTCAAGAACCGTATGTGGCCTTACTACCAGCAAGCATGCTCCACCCCCACCTGGGGCTTCAGATGCTTCCAAATCCTTTGGCAGACATCCTAGTGCAGGCCTAAGGTTTGGATGTCCAGGGTTTGGCTTGGGATTTGGATGCCCCTGGGTTTTGTTTGCCTTCAGCCATATGGCTAGGGAGGAGTCTCCCATTGCCATAAAGTCAGCATATAGCCAAGATCTTCCCACTGGAGGTGAAAGTGGGAGACTAAATATGCATTACCTGGGTCCCTGCCAAGAAAGTGGCTTTCCCCTGCAACACTTAGTGATCACTATGGATCATCTGGCTACTCCCCAAAGCCAGACAGGCATCCTACGAGCAAGCCCCAGGGCCAGAGACAGCCCAGGGGGTAGTAGCCCCTGCGCAGAGCAGACCAGCCCCGTTTGCTCGCTGCCCCTCACTTCCCTCTGCCTGAGCCCTAAGATGCAGCCTCCCACGGCTGCTGCCCAGAGGACCCCAGCGGCCCCTTCCACCCTGGGACACCCCGCCTGCAAGCCTCAGGCATTGGGCTGTCCCAGCCGAGCCCCAGCGCAGGGCGCGCCCCGAACACCCGCCCGGAATTCCCGGGGAAAAAAGCCATGCCCGCCCTTTATGCAGATCAGCCCGGCCCGGGAGCCAATGGGGCGGCTCGGGGCGGGGCGGAGCGCGGGACTTGCCCGGGCATGTGGCAGCCATTGCCGCAGCTAGTTCCGGGAAAGACACGTGTAGCCGGCGCGGCGCGGGTCCGAGGTGGGTTTGGGGCAGAGGGGTAGGGCAGGGCAGGGCTCGGCTCGGCGCAATGATCTCGTTCTCCGCGTGGGTGTTTTAACGAGCTCAGGGCAGATCCGGCTCCCAGGGCTGGGCTGGGCTGGGGGGTGCCCGTGGCAGTGCCACCTGTTTCCCCCCCATTTGCTGTGGGAGTCCCCCAGGCCATGTGACTGCTGTGGGTTAGGCTGGCCCCATGCCCATAGCATAGCAGCTCCCGGGTTCCCCTGGGGGATGGGACGGCGGGTGATGTGTCTCCTGGTTGCCCACGCACTGACTAACCTGTTGCCCTGGCTGGCTTCGGCAGGATGCCTGCTGGCAAGGGGCAAGCACCAGGTGTCCTGAGGCCAGTGAAGACCTGCAGGCTGGGGCAGAAGGAGTCCGAGGGCCGGTTCCTGGAGTACTACTATGCCAAGCGGGACCTGTGCTGTGCCCAGTCCAAAGCCCAGCCGTGCCTCCGAGCGGAGGCTGACAGTCAGGCCTTGCAGATTCAGGCTAAGAAGAAGAGCCGGAAGCACCAGCGGTTTATGAAGCGCAGAGCTCTGCTGGAGCAGAGGGGGCTCCTGGGACCCAAGCTGGGACAAAAGGTCCAGCCAGTTGTACTCCAGCTGCCAGAAGCAGATATGGCACAGGAGCCACTCGCCAAGAAAACGGGCAGCTGTGGGCAGCCAGCATTCATGGTGCATGAGCAGCCTGCAGGAGAAACCCATGCCAAGCTCACCAAGCCGAAGCAGGTGCGGTCACAGGCTGAGTCAGACAGTCCTGAGGGCCCAGCGGGGCAGCGCCTCCTCTCACCACCCCAGGATTTGGCATGCAGATTATCTTTGCCTGCAAGCTCCAAATCAGGCAGAGTTTCCTTGTCCTGGTCACTCCAGAGACCTTGGAAATATGTAGCCATTGACTGCGAGATGGTGGGCACGGGTCCTGGTGGGAAGCTGAGTGAGCTGGCACGATGCACAGTAGTCAGCTACAACGGAGATGTTGTCTATGACAAATATATCCGGCCGGAGCTTCCCATTGTGGACTACAGGACTCGGTGGAGTGGGATCACCAAGCGGCACATGCAGAACGCTACCCCATTCAAAGCTGCGCAGAGAGAGGTAAGCATGGGGGGGGGGGGGGGGGGGGGGGGGGTGACCGGGGGAGCGAAAAGCCCCGTCGGCATGCATGGGGTTGACCTGGGGACCGAAAAAGCCCTTTGCCATA